CCCCCAGGAGCCCTCCTGTACACGGGCACGCATACACCACACCACACGATCATACGATCAATAGGACATGCATCCCAGGAGAGGGGGCAACCTATGCTTTGGCCTGTCTTCCTTCCTCCCCAAAACAGCTCTAGGAGCAAGCTTGTAACATCCACATATAAACCTCACTCGACAGGACTAGGGGTGTTTTCTCTCCGGAGAGCCCCGAACCTGGGTATGTCTTGCGTCCCTCGCTCGCTCATGCCAACCTCGCCTCTGGAGCCCACCGGTGCCCTCGAGCCTCCTCCTCTCTTTAGCCATCCTTTGGCATCTACCGTGCGCCCACCATGACAGGCGGCTTCCATGGGGGGCGCGCCAGACCCTTGTGGGCTGGTGTGCTCCCCTCTTATGGCCCAATAGGCCCAATACTCTCCCGGGGGTCACCGGTACCCCTTCCAGTACTCTAATGACTATCCGGTTTTCTCTGAAACTCTTCCGATGTCCGAATACTATTGTCCTATATATCAATCTTTACCTCTCGACCATTTCAAGACTCCTCAACATGTCCGTGATCTCATCTGGGACTCCGAACAGCATTCAGTCACCAAATCATATAACTCATATAACACTATATCGTCAACGAACGTTAAGCGTGCGGACCCTACGGGTTCGAGAACTATGTAGACATGACCGAGACACCTCTCCGGTCAATAACCAATAGCGGAAACTGGATGCCCATATTGGCTCCTACATATTCTACGAAGATCTTTATCGGTCGAACCGTTATGGCAACATACGTAATTCCTTTTGTCCATCGGTATGTTACTTCCCAAGATTCGATCGTCAGTATCTTCATACCTAGTTCAATCTCGTTACCGGAAAGTCTCTTTACTCATTCCGTAATACATCACCTCATGACCAACTCCTTAGTCATTTGCTTGCAAGATCATGATGTGTATTACCGAGAGGGCCCAAAGATACCTCTCCAATACCTCGGAGTGACAAATCCTAATCTCGATCTATGCCAACTCAAGAAACACCTTCGGAGATACCTATAGATCATCTTTATGATCACCCAGTTACGTTGTGACGTTTGATAGCACACAAGCTATTCCTCCGGTATCCGGGAGTTGCATAATCTCATAGTCGAAGGAATATGTATTTGACATGAAGAAAGCAATAGCAATAAACTGGACGGTCAATATGCTAAGCTAACAGATGGGTCTTATCAATCACATCATTCTCCTAATGATGTGATCCCGTTATCAAATTACAACACATGTCTATGGTTAGGAAACCTTAACCATCTTTGATCAACGAGCTAGTCTAGTAGAGGCTTACTAGGGACACGGTATTTGTTTATGTATTCACACATGTATTTAAGTTTCCGATCAATACAATTCTAGCATGAATGATAAACTTGTATCATGAATAAGGAAATATAAATAACAACTTCATTATTGCCTCTAGGGCATATTTCCTTCACATTTGACCCAACTCGGTGAGACCGAATGATTAAACTCGGTGGCACCGATTAGTTCAAAATGTGAACATTAGGAATCTCGGTGGGATCGAGTGGAACAACTCAGTGGGACCGATGTGCTAGGGCTTAGGGCAAACATCATCTCGGTGGCACCGATTGCATCAACTCGGTGAGAGCAAAGTGAAGCAATAAGGCAATAGAGAGAATGTGAAACCAATTCGGTGGGACCGATTGCATAACTCGGTGAGACCGAAATAAATGCAACAAGTCACACAACATTGGCAAGGCCATCTCGGTGAGACCGAGACCCGTATAGGTGAAACCGAATTGCTAGGGTTTCTGGCAGTGGCTATGACATATGAACTCGGTGGCGCCGGATAGAAGAATTGGTGGGGCTGAGTTGGAGTTTAGGGTTTTGACATATTTGGATGGAGAAAGTGGTTGAGGGCTTTGGAGCAATATCACTAAGCATTTTAGCAAGCAAGCCATTAAGCAACACCTCATCCCCTTTTGATAGTATTGGCTTTCCTATGGACTCAATGTGATCTTGGATAACTAAAATAAAGATGGAGAGTCTTGAGCTTTTTGCCAACACATGTCCTTAGCATTTTGAGGGGTCCACATCTCTAGTCCATGCCATGCCATTCATTGAACTTCCTAAAATATTTATCTTGAATGGATATTAGTTCGATGAGCTATATGTTGTTATGAATCACCAAAACCACACGAAGATTAGTTGCACATTGAGTTCCTTCCTCTGAAATTTGCTATTTTTGCAATGGATTAGAATTTATGGAGCATGCTCTTCTCTTTTGCCCACATGCTAGAGATGTATGAGATGTGATCAAGGATATTATAGGATCTTATATACAATGCCATAGTTTAATATCCTTAAAAGTGCCTTTTGATTCCCTTGGTTGATCCACAAACCATAATTGTACTATGCCGACAATGACTATATGGAAACTATGCTAGAATATTCCAGAGGCTCTCCATCCTCGACATGAGACCAAAATAATCAAGGCATTTCTCGGACCGACTTTGCAACATATTTACATATGGTTATTGAACACATGCATGATACCAACATCTCTGGTATAACTTGGTCTCTACCAATGTTTGATACCATTGTATTCAATTCCTCTGTCGCCATTCTTGCTTAGTTTGGCAGATCATACATAGGGGTCATCGCTCAGGGTCATGATGCATGTTTTGTAGTGGCCTATAGTGACCCAGTTATTGGTGTTCTCAAGCGGGGGATGGCCGAGGCCATAGCTATCCGGCGAGCTGTTCATTTGGCATTGGAAAAGCAAGAAGCCGATGTTATCTTTTCTACAACCTACCTATCTTTGGTGCAGAAGATCCATTCTTCTGTGACTGATCATTCTTTTATTTGTGTGGTGGTTTCTGATATTAAAATTGCGTCTGGTGCCTTCAATTCGATGATCTTCAAGCACTCTCATTTGTTAGGGCATCTCCAACGTCGATCCTCAAACCTCCTACATCCGTCCGAACCATGTTGTCCGGACAGCGGAAGCCATCCAACGCGGCCTTGTATCAGCCTGCGGGGGGGTGCGGGAGTTCGGTCCGATCCCAAGCCCTGGCCAGACCATCTTGGCCCACCAAAAACCCCATCCCCCTCCCGCGCATTTTTGGTCAGCGCCCGCATTCATGCCCAGCCAGAGCGGACATGCCCGCTCATTGACGTCGACACTTAAATGGTGCGTTAGCCGAGTGAGCGCCGCCCGCGTCGCTTCCCAGTGCAGGCGACTGTCACGCGTTCAAACGACATGATGGCTGCCCGTCCGTCCATCTCCGCCCACATTGATGGCACATGGTTGTCGAGGCATATCCTCTGGTGCCACCGGGCCGTCCCTGTGCCGCCCACCATTGCTATAAAAAATGGTGCCCCGACTGTAGCCAAGTCATCCACCTCCGACCCCTCTCCTCACTACTCCCACCATGGATCCCTCCCTCGCCAAAGCTCTCTGTGATGGGCTGATGTAGGACCAGAAGAAGGATATGGCTGCCATTGATACCACCTGGCTGGCCGGCAAGCAGCCGGAGGATGATGACGTCCCAATGGAGAACACCGCCGACGCCACCCTCGTCCTCCTCTGCGCCAACCTCGCGCGGTGCATTGCACCTTGACCATCAGTGAGGCCCGTTCCCATTACATGGAATTTTGAATAAGACGACTTTTGCATTTTAGATTTGGATCTTTTTCTTATTTCAAAATAGTGAAAAAGTCAAATAAGAGGTGTTAAGCTTTTTATCATTCTGGCATCAAGCTATTTTGCCGCAGGACCTCCCCTACAGTATTGTCACCGCTGTAGAGTTTAACCACCAAATTTGGGATGGATGGTACGGGAGGAGCGGGAGAAGCAGTCCCGGGAGGCGCAGGCCGACACCGCCTACAACCACCACCTGCTCCAGGAGCACGTGCAGGCGGAGGAGCAGCTCGGCGCCGGCAGGCTGTCACGCCGGACGCGGACCATGTGGAGCAGCAGGCGCTGCTCGAGTCCTACCGCTCCGCCCGCGAGATCCACCTCGCCCGGTGGCAGTAACACTAGCGGGCGGTGGAGGTGGTGGCCGCCTAAAAGGAGAGCGCCGACACAGGCGAGGCGGTGTTCGATAAGACCGACTATGAGGAGGAGGACATCGCCGAGTCCGCGCCCCGTCAAGGTGACCATGAAGCCGACACGCCCGCGAGCGCCGCCGACAGCGAGGAAGGGTAGTGCATGATAGGTCACCGCCGCTTGTGTCCCAGGAAGGCCACCGCTCCTACGTCGGCGCCAAGCTTGGTGGGCTCACCATCTTCGGCTGATTAGACGCTTGGCGGTGATGTGGAGGCGGACAAAGTCACTTCCCAGGCCTCCGGAGGCGGAGCTGGAGAGCGTCAAGGCGGAGCTGGAGAGCGTCGAGGCGGAAGCGGAGACGGTGAAGCTTCAGCTCTCGAGGCTGATGGCCGGACACGGGGAACGGACGCCGGTGACCATTTAGATTTGGTATTAATTATATCTCTAGAGCCGGACTAGCACCGCTTTGGTGTAAATGTAATAAAATTTGTCATGTTTATATGTAATCCAGACGTATTTATATGAAATTCGTCATGTTTATATGAAATTCGGCCTTGTTTGCACGAATTTCATCCAGTTTGTTTGAACAAGAGTTTGAAATGTATGCGGCTATGGTTGGATAGCATCCTCCCGCATCCATGTCCACAGACTCCCCCCTCCCCACCCTTGTTCGCTGACGAATACGAGAGGAAATTTACGGGTTACCGTTGGAGATGCCCTTAGCTAGAGCTTGTAAATATTCAGTTAGCCCATTTCTATTCTCTTCCAGATTGCATCCCAGGCCCTTTGTCTTCGAACTGACCCAAGTGGCCCATCTGCGAAGACAAAGGGCCTTAGCCTGCGTGAAGAGGGGGGCGAAGAGGCGAACTCGAGCAGGAAAAAGCAGCAGCAGAGCAGAATATCTCTTGCCGCACACCGCGTCCGCGACCGTGACCTCCCTGCCCGACGAGCTCTCTCCGATGGCATCTCAGGATTCCAAGCCCGCGCAAGTCCCGGCCACCGCCGAGCTCACGGCCCCGGCGGCTGCTGCCGCAGGGGAGGCGCCGAATCCCACTTCCCCGACAGCAGCCCAAAACCCTAGCGCTGCCGCGGCCGCCGCCGCCGGTGGGGCAGCCACGGATCTAGAGAAGAAGATGCGCCGAGCGGAGCGGTTTGGGACGCAGGTGGTGATGTCCGAGGACGAGAAGCGAAGCAGCCGCGCCGAG